TGTGGTGACTTTCGTGGTAAAGCTTCGTCATGTTTATCTCGTTTTTCAACTGTTACTCCTTAAGCATCCAACGACATTACCTTTCAAGTTGCATCATGAAACAAGCCCTCAATGATGACTTCCTTTGTCCTTGTTGACAATGGGACATCTGGCAGACGGCCATTTCCTCCTGTTTCAGACTGAGCAGGAATGTTTGAAAATATTTATATCCATGTGTCTTGGGATTCTGTTAATCTTCTCTATGTTTTCCAGTTTGTTTTTATGGTTTAATTGAATCATAGACTTGCTCATGTATCAATATCCTAGACAATTCAACCTGACATATTATTTCCGGTTCCCTATGGAGTGCACCATTTGACCCAGTTTGAGCCAAAATGAAAAGGAGGGGGAGGCTTGGCTTTCAACTGTAGCAAAACTAGTGTTTTGTTCTTCATTTGGGCATCATGGAGCGAGCTGTAAACTTGATAAAATCTGTAGAAACCATCGACTGGGATTTTTTATTAGTATTTATTAAGGAATTTTCTTTAATACAATGTGCAGGAGTTTGAAAAAATAGTCACCTGTTAAGACAAATTGATATAAGTAATTTTACAAAAGTTGTAGAGTCTATGTTCGATAGTAAAGGAGCTATTTGACAAGTTGCGCCATACATTTTTGACCGCACTCATACTCACAGTGTTTTTTTCTTCCATTTGGGCGTCATGGTGCGAACCGTAGTGAGCATGCTTCACAGCTTCTATCAATTATGCATTTTTCATCGTCATCAAAATGCAGTTTAATGCTATGGTCAAGGCTTACAACACAACAAAAACTAGTTGTTGCTTTTTTTTTTTTGGTCTCTGGTTGGAAAAGTACCCAAACGGACATAAGTGGATTGCTTGCAGCGCCGAAGATATGCCCAAATTTGCTCTCCCGGGGGTGAAAAGGAAGTGGGGATGGGAGTAGGGGTGGGGGACGAGAGTATCCTTCTTGGTTCGCTCATCTGATCAGATCCTGCCATGTTCCGGAATTGGATATCGCACCGAGATGCACGAAGCTCTCGGGACGGGCGGGTGCTAGGAATCCATCACTTTCGACAACTGCACAGCCGGTTGTGTCAAGCAGCCTCGCCCTGGAGCCCTCCGGAGACCTCTCTTGGGCACATGGTTGGGGTCACGGATAGGTGGGAGGGTTTTTATCAAAATATGCGGTGTCCCTTCAGGCTCAAGGTTTCTGCATTTCTTTCTCACGTCCTTGCTCATCACCATCCCCCCTCCCCCGCTCCCAACCCCCAACCACTCATCCCATCTCATCCCGTCCTTTGCGTTGCATCCCTCTCTGTCTCCCTCTCTCGTCCACTCTCTCTCTCTCTCTCTCTCTCTCTCTCGTCATCTCTCTCTCTCCTTCTCCCTTTCCTCATTTCTCTTGTCTCTCTATTTCTCTCTATGTCTCTCTCTGTCTCTCTCTCACTCACATTCTCTCTCACTCTCTCTCTCTCA